CATATAGACAAAATTGGCCTGGAGCGTGGTTTGACTGTTTGTTTGGACGGTCAACACCTTTGACCGTTAGTCAACTGTCCAGGTCACTGCCATGTCAGCATAAAAAAATTATAATTTCATTTTTCTTTTTATTTCATTTACAAAATTGAATAATTAAAAAAAAAAACAAAAACTTTTGGCTCACCCATCCCCACCTTATCCCCTCACCTTCTTTCCTTTTCGATCAAACCCAAACAAACCCTATCTTCCATCTTCTTCCTCCTTCTTCCCCATCCTTGAACCATCGATTCTCCATAATCTCCGGAATCGAAATTCGCCTCTTCGTGTCCACCACCAGAAGTCTGGAAATCAAATCCCTAGCGTCTTTCGAAATCCAATTGGGGATCTTGTAATCGGCTTTGAAAATCTTCACATACACCTTCATCAAATTCTCGTGGAGGAAGGGCAAATAGCCGGAGAGCAAGACGAAGAGGATTACCCCACAGGACCAAATATCGGCTTTCGCCCCGTCGTACCCTTTCTTCCAGAGAACCTCCGGCGCCACGTAGGCAGGGGTCCCACACTGGGTATGGAGCAACCCGTCGTTCCAGCGCTGACCCGGGAGCGCGGAGAGTCCGAAATCGGAGATCTTGAGGTTCCCGTTCTCGTCCAGCAACAGATTCTCCGGCTTCATATCCCGATGGGAGACTCCCCGGCTGTGGCAATAGTCGATTGCGCTGATCAATTGCTGGAAGTAGCGGCGGGCAAGGTCCTCGTCGAGTTTCCCCTTTTCGACCTTGGCGAACAGCTCGCCGCCCCTGACGTACTCCATGACGAAGAAGATTTTGGACTTGGTGGCCATCGCTTCATCGTTGGGGAAGAAGGAGGAAGAAGAAGGAAGATAGGGTTTGTTTGGGTTTGATCGAAAATGAAAGAAGTGAGGGGATAAGGTGGGGATGGGTGGGCCAAAAGTTTTTGTTTTTGTTTTTTTTTTAATTATTCAATTTTGTAAATGAAATAAAAAGAAAAATGAAATTATAATTTTTTTATGCTGACATGGCAGTGACCTGGACAGTTGACTAACGGTCAAAGGTGTTGACCGTCCAAACAAACGGTCAAACCACGCTCCAGGCCAATTTTGTCTATATGCTGCATAGTTCGGGCCAGGATGTTAATTTCGCAAACCACTGGCCAAAGTTGATTACATGGTCATAGTTCAGGCCATAACAAGGTATTAACCCTAAAGTCTATTGATCCTATTATCCACCGATAATTAAGTTCATTAAGCATAGATTTAGGCAAATTTATTTTCAGATGACATTTTTGTAATTTTTTGGTTGATTTTTTTTGAAAGACTATTTTCCTTGGATTTTGAAGTCTAAAGATCGCGGATTCGGCCTGAGGCTATTCTGATTTGGACACCGATTTGGGTAGATTTCTTCTTGATCCATTTTTGGCAGATTCCAAAGGGGTACCATAATAGATTTTCGGCAATTTTTTTCGAAATGCCATTTTCTTTGAATTTTAGAGGCTACATGTCACGGATTCATCCCGAGGCTATTCTCCACCTATAATGAAGTCTAATGATCCTATTATCCATCGATGATTAAGATTAAGTAAATTAAGCACCAATTTGGGAAAATTTATTTTCGTATGACATTTTTGTAATTATCTGGGCAATTTTTTTCGAAATGCCATTTTACTTGGATTTTGAAGGATACAAATTATGGATTCATCTTGAGGCTATTCTTTAACAATGATTAAGTTTATTAAGCACCGATATGGGAGGATTTCTTTCAGAACCATTTTTTGCATATTCCAAAGGGGCACCATCACAGATTTCAGGCGATTTTTCTTTCGGTTTTGGAGGCTAAAGATCACGGATTCAACCCAAGGCCATTCTCCACCGATAATGAAGTCTATTGATACTATTCTCCACCGTGATTAAGTCCATTATGCACAAATTTGGGCAAATTTGTTTTTGGATGACATTTTCATAAATTTTTGGGCAATTTTTTTCGAAAGCCCATTTTCCTTGGATTTTGAAGGCTACATATCACGGACTTGGCCTGAGGCTATTCTTCAACGATGATTAAGTCCATTAAACACCGATTTGGGCGAATTTCTTCCGGATCCATTTTTGGCAGATTCCGATTGGGTACCATCATAGATTTCAGGGGATTTTTTTCCGAAATGCCATTTTCATTCAATTTTGGAGGCTGCATGTCACGGATTCAGCCAGAGGCTATTCTCCACCGATAATGAATTCTATTGATCCTATTCTCCACCGATGATTAAGTCCATTAAGCACCTATTTGTGCAAATTTATTTTTTATGGCATTTTCATAATTTGTTGAGCGCTTTTTTCTGAAAAGGCCATTTTACTTGTACTTTGAAGGATACAAATCACTAATTCGCCTGGAGGCTATTCGTCAACGATGTTTAAGTCGTTGTAAAAAAAAACGATGTTTAAGTCCATTAAGCACCGATTTGGGTGGATTTCTTCTGGGTCCATTTTTGGCAGAATACAAAGAGGTATCATCACAGAATTCGGGTGATTTTTCCAAAATGACATTTTCATTCGATTTTGGAGGCTACCGATCACGAATTCAGTCTGAGACTATTCTTCACTAATACAGCAAACAATCATAATGCAACATCTTTCGATGGCTAACTGAACTTTCATAGTCTAAATCCGTTACATTACTTCCAAAACATTTTCCAATCTCAAGATAAGTCCATCAAACGCTCAAAACGCCGTACACAATGAATTTTCAAACCATATTGAAGCTATATAAATCCACTTTACGAAATATTAGAAGGCTGAGGGTAACCTTTTTTTATCCTTAGACAACATAAACAATGATTTTTTCAAATCGTTCAAAGGTCAAATCATATTGAAACTAAGACCATATTCATCCCTGCAATAGGTTAGCCATTTCATAAATGGACCCCACATCCACATCACTAATTTTAGTAACTATTCAATTCAACCATTTCAAACCACCTACATCCCTGCAATAGGTTAGCAATTGCAATTGATGGGACCTACTACATACATTTGCATAATAGATAATAGACTTTTGAAAATTCAATAAACACAAAATACATAGCATACACCAAATAGAAAGAAAGAAAAATTACATAATGAAATACAAAAAATGCAAAACAAAATACAAAAATTCAAAATGAAAGTAAAAAAAATACTAGACTACTTGTCATCTTCCTCTCCTCCAAATCGATTCCAAATCTCTTCAACTATACATCTTTGTATTAAGTTTTCATGTTCAATATAATTAACATATAATTTATGATTTTAATTTATTAACAACTTATAAGCACAAGAATTGTTAAGTTTAACATTTTATGTGTACAAAGTGGATAGAAAAGAAAGAAAGAAAAAAGAAAGAATTTGAGTGCATGAATTTGTGGGTCCCAATTGCTTATGTGGCATTGCAAAGGGGATTGCTTATTTAGCAATCTTGCTAAATAAGAAAGAAGTGCTACATCCTTGCAATTGCTTAAAGCTATTGCCACATAGGATTCCACCCAATAAGTAATAGCAATAAGCAATTGGATGGAGATGCTCTAAGATATAAAAGTCTGTCTCCGCTTTCTCTTGTACGATTCCACTTAAATTGTTAGCATACGCTACAATCCGGAGCGTTAAACTCATTGAATCGTTTAGACTAGAGTTTATAAATTACTCTAACTCCTCTTACGACCCTTAATAATTTTGCTGGGCCGAGTTGACAAAAGCCCACTCAATAAAATATTTAGCTCAATGAGCTTTATTTGATTGAGAGCAGCCCATAGTTTCTCGAAGAAACGTGGTTTTCGATTGTAAGCCTGCTCAGGCCCAATTAACTTGACCTCCCTTTCGCTGAAGGTCCGATTACACCTGCAGCTCGCGTTGATTCCATGATGAGCTTGAACTGCAACAATCAGCAACCCCCTTTTCTTGATTGCAACCAATCTATAAGGTTCTCACCGTGCAGTAGGGATGGCAATTTCGACCTGAACCGGTTTATCCGACCTGTTTGGCCTGTTTTGAGACAGGTCCGACCCGTCCCATAGACGGGGCGGGGTGGGCATGGGTACCTTTCGTTGACCCGACCTGCCCCGACCTGTCCCATTCTCGACCCGTTCTTGCCTAAATTACATGTAATCTTACTATCTTAGTCAAATTACTTAGAATTTTCCTTATATTATCTCATATTTTAGCTATAATAAATTTATAAATAAGTGAAACCTCAATTTCTCCAATACTTTAACTACATTTTATCATATTATAGTTTATTTCTCGGTCTTTTAATGAAAATAATGAAAAAATTTTAATGTTTTTCACATAAATTACATACCCAATGAGTCGGCCTGCCCCGACCCGCGCCCCATGATAAATTACCCGACCTGTCACGGTACGCGTATGGGTATCGAGATACCCGACCCGGACCTGCCTCATTGCCATTCTTATCGTCCCGTTCTAATCTAAGGGTCAATCACAATTTCTTCCCATTTTTGAGATCTACATTTATACTAAACTACGAAGTCACCTCGACTGAACCACGTTCACCGCGTGCTTTCATTCTCGCTCTGCATTGTTTCCTTGATTTGTTTGTCACTTTCTAAAAAGGCTTTCTCATAATTAAGCTAAACCGATACAGGCTATACTACAAATGGAAAATTTGTGTAACCTTTTTTTTTTTTTGGTTTACCCTAATAAAGAAATCTGCCAACAACTATACATTACATACAGCTAGCTATCACATTACATAATTTATTTTTAAGTGTTGATGAACTTAAATACTAATATACTAATGCACTCTCTCTCTACTCTCTCCCCTCCTCTCTCTCTAGAGAGTTCTCTATAAATAGCTGGTTGGAGCAAAGGCCAAAGAGCACCAAAACAAAACTAATTAAGAGTGTTAATTAGCAAATCAGAAAGAGCCTAATTCCTCTTTCAGTGTGTCTGCAGTTCTACATTTCCAACAATCTAATTCCTTTCAGCCATGGCCCAAAAAATGGTGATCAAGCCACAACAACCAGCTTACTCCACTTGCCTTCTTCTCCTCTCCATCATCATTCTCTCCCACCATATTCACTCCATTGAAGCAGCCAGGGGATTCAAAATTGACCAAAGTACCCTTGACGACAGCAGCACGGCCAGTACGAAAGGCTCGGCCACCGTTGAGGTGGAAGATGCTGCCGTCACCGGTCCACCACCGCCGGTGGTGGCTACCGGCGAGCCACAGCAGCCTCCGTGGTCGGCAGCTGCCCCGGGCCGCGGCACCGACGATTTCAGGCCCACCACGCCGGGGCACAGCCCCGGCGTTGGGCATTCTACGCATAACTAAGCTGGCGTCCATTGATGTGTGTACTTCTATGAAGGTGGTTTATTATTCGTTAGGGTTTATATTGTCATGAAATTTAATGTGTTTTAGGGGTTAGGATTAGTTCAGGAAATTTAAATATTTGTTGTTCAGTTCAAAGTTAAATAAAAATGATTTGTATGAGAATACCGTACATGGGGAGTTCTGTACATTGTAAATTGCTTCAATCCAGTAATTTAAGAAAATCTTTTTTTTCCCCCCTCTGATTTCAAGTAGTTTGAAAAAACATTTGATTGTTCATCGACATCGCGACAATAAAGTGATTTAGTAGTGGTGTGTTTGAGTTCTGTTGACTCTTTGTGGATTTTTTATTATTTATTTTTTTACTTCTTCTTTTAATATAGTAGTTGTAATGGGAAAAAGATAAGTTACAAAACTCTATCCCATAAATAAAACCTCTACAAAATTTCATCATTCACCTTCCATCATATTTTCCTCATTTAATGACTCAGATTAATTCATAACAAAATAGAAATTAAGAGGGGCAGTTGGTAATTTCATCACATCCCGTATATTTTTTTTTTTGTCCAGACACTCTGACACATCTAGAGGAAAGAAGACATTTTTCTTAATTTCATATTATCTACATAATGATATCCACTTTGTTATATTTTAAACAAAGAAAAAAAAATAACTCTTCAAAACACGGGTCAGTAGTAATGCTATCACTTTCATATCTATCACATTAATACATTATCATGATATGACAGTTGTATGATGAGCTAGCTCCTTCATTTTATATTATAATATAATAAAAACTGTATAGAAAGAACGCATTGCTGAAGATCTATACAACGATATTCATTTTGGTATGTTTTGTCAAACATAAAATCTCCTACCAACATCATATCAATGTCATACAAACATCATACCAGTGTCATATCATGATATTATCGCGATCACATAGTGATAAATTTAACTCTTCAAACCACGTGTCGGGACTAGTATTATCACTGTCATATCTATCATAATATCATGATATGACACAAATATGATGTCATCAAATTATTTTGACAAGTATTAGACCTCATACCAACACCATATCACCATTATTATACCAATATCATATCAGCATATACCACTACCATATCAGTATCATGTCACAATGATATCATATCATAGTTAGTGATAATATCGTGATATGATAGTGGTAAGATGACATAAAAAATTATACGTGATAACCGATAACTCTTTTTTTAATAATACTGAAAGAACTCATTAATTATAACTTACATAATGACATCCATTTGTTATGTTTTGAGCAAGGTTTAAGAAGTTGCTAGGCAAGGTTGGCACACTTAAAGCAGCGCCTAAGCGGTGCCTACACGTTTTAAGAGAAAAATTGCAATTGTTAGTAGAAATAACACTTTATATAACTTTTTACTCTAGTCCAATTTCAAACTATTAAGAATTTAACTAACCCTAAAAAACAAGCAAAACTTATTATGATTTCCTAGAATCACTAGTTTATAGAAGTCGTGGGTTGTGACTGCTCTGTAGTCGATGATATTGAACAGTAGGGCATATGGTCGGGTCGATGCGGAGTTGGAGAAGAACTAAAGAACTCATTAGTTGTGGCTATGGTCGACGATGTCGAAAAGTATGACATATGATCAGGTCGACTGGAGTTGGAGAAGAAGTGCAAAATTAGTGGATTGTGGCTACTCTGCGTTCGAACACGATGAAAAGCAAGCAGAGGGGGAAAAAAGGACGGAGCGAAAATGAAAACTCATTGAAATTCATGAGTTCTTAGTCTTTATCTCATTCACCTAGAACTGTCATTTTAAATCGAGGAAGGAGGAGTGAAAAAGCGTCAAATATACGGCAATTGGAGATGGTGTCATTTTGGAAAGATTAGCTACACTTTTTTTTTTTAATTTATGGTCTTCCGGCATGCTTAAGTGCTATGTGTGGGATTGGGTTGTTTAATGTGAATTTATCATCAAAATGTTTTCTGTGTATTATTCATTGCTATGTATAATTTATAAACTGACCAACGAAACATAACTACTATGCAATGGGCGAAAAAACGACTATAACATACTACACAAAAAGAAGAAAAACGGACACAAAATAAAGCTCATGTGCTACACAAAAGGACAAAGTAACGTCTGCTTTTGTTTGTTTAAGATGATTTTTCTTCAGCTTGGGTGCTCACTTCTTGTGATGCCCTCACGTTTGTTTGCTGCTTTGCTCCATGTTTCATTTAATGCAATTGACCATCATAAAAATCCTCTATTTTAAAAATTTTGAATAAAATTACACCAGAACTTTGTTTTAGAAAATAATAATGACGTGCTTCCTGTTTCTTTTAATGCAATTGACCATTACATAAAAAAAAAAGTCTGTTTAAAAATGAATAAAATTACACTCTCTCTCCAGTCTTCACGACTCTATAAATAGCCGGCTCGACTAAAACACCGAAGAGCACCAAAAACAAACTAACAGTTTAGCAAAATCCAAAAACAGCCCTTATTCCTTTTCCAGAAGTTTTCTACAGTACAAACATTTCGATCCCCATCTCCCCATTGCCATGGCCCAAAAGATCAAGCCACAAGCACCTTACTACACTTGCTTTCTTCTCCTATCCATCATCATCACCATCCTCCTCTCCAACCAGATTCACTCCATTGAAGCAGCAGCTAGGGGCTTCAAACTTAACCAAAAAAACACCCTTATTGACAGCAACACCAATTCTGAAGGCTCTGCTACTGTTGCAGCCGTGGTGGCTCCAGGCCGCGTCGCCGATGCTTTCAGGCCCACTTCTCCAGGGCACAGCCCCGGAGTTGGGCATCACGCATAACTAATTAAGCCGCATGCAAGAACGAATAAATTACATGCAGCGGCCGTAGCTTTATGTATAAAATGCTAGCAATGGCACCTCTCGTTGATATGAAGGTGTTGTTTACACCAAAATAAATTTCTCTATTAAAATTTTTATGTGGGTCTACTTTGGATGGTTGCACACATTCATATCACGGTCATCATATCCAACCTCTTAGTGGATGGTATCATCATCTCATATGATGGATATCTTCCAAACCCTAAATGGATATGGTGTCATCTCATATCATAGGCACCATCGCCAAACTCTAAGCGGATGGTATTATCATCTAATTTGACATGGTCAATTAAGTTGTGTAACCCTCTTTCATATATGATGAATGACTGTACTGTCAGCGGTGTAACCGATAACCGAACCGGAATGAGTGATTAACAGTTACATCGATAATCGATAAACAGTAAACGGTCGAATCTCGACAGCAAAATAATTTAGCTAATTAATAATCGATGGTTAAACGGTTAGTAACCGACCAATAGCATGTGCCTGCTTGCCGACCCTACGACACGTGGCCTCTATCATTGTAGCGAAATTACATACGAGGTTGGAGGCATTGAGTTTCCGGAAATTTTATAATTTGATCTATATGATGTATAGCACAAGATTAAAACATTAATTTGGCTTTGATATATTGGTAAACATATTGGATAATTCATATATACTTGGTCACGTCTTCGAATCTCTCTTCTTTGTTTTAGCGAATGTTGTACACAAAAATTTATTTAATTTAGCTTGACAAAAAAAATTAAGTTTAGTGTAACCACTTTAACATTTTGATCTTTTTTTTTTAATTCTTAAGTTTCAAGTTTTTCCATTTAATTCACATTTTATGAACATCCATTTATTTAATATTCAACTCGACGAAAATGCTAGTTTAGTCTCTCAACTTCAATATTTTGATCATTTTAGTTCTTAAACTTCAAGTGTATCCATTTAGCTCCCACTACATGAAAATTTGTGTTTTTTTTTCCTCTTAGTACACTTTGGGAATGAATACTTGTAAATTTAGTCTTTAAACAAAAATTTAACTCCTATAATACGATAATTTATGCTTTAAAAGACAATTTCGAATTGAATAACTAAAATTTTATTTTATTTAAGTATTAAAAATTTTAGGCCACACATCTTCCTTTTGAAACGGGACCTCGCGAGTATCGATAGAACGGTCTTACCTAAGCGAGATATTTTGACATTGTCAAGCACCTAATTACGTAGCGATTAACCCCACATTTTTGAACCATTCTACTTACTCACTAAGCCATAGGGAAGGGGGAAAAAAAACTAAAAACCCAAAATATCATGAAACAAATCACCTAGGAAATTATAGTGCGCATGCAGAACAATGAACATGGGCGCTCCTAGCAGTTAAGATACACAGCAGCAAGCACACCTGCAGGAAAAAAGCATTCACTGGTCGAGAGAGCCAGCCAACACATAATATTCAACTAATATTCTGACCGTTTGGATTCCATGGCAGACATATATGGGGAAAGAAAGAAAGATTCCTCATGCACCCTGAAGCCAGCCAGCCAGCCAGCCAACGGTGGAGAAACGAAGCTCGTGCACTACAGCCTAGCCTAGCTAAGCTACCCATTTCCTTCCTTTCTTTCTTTCTCTCGATCTGCATTTGTCCATCTTCAAATTAAAAATATGGGTATGTTGTTAATTATTCTTTAGCATATGATATGCCTCTCTGCGGTTATCGCGATCGATCGGTTGGTTCACAGTTCCACATGACTTCACGACGCCAAGTTGGCAACATTACCGCCACCTTTTTCAAGTAGGTCTAGTTGTACGTTCATCAATGTTTCCTCTTTGTCTTAGTGTTATAGTTTAATAGCAACTCTATTTGATTTATATACTGGAAAGTTAGGCGACATTTCGACGGCTGGGAAGTACGTACTACCCTTGATTGATTCTTTTTGTGACCATTTGTGGCATGAGAAGAAAATTGAAAGGAAAGAAAAAAAAACCCTACAACTAGCTAGCTATAGTCTTATTGTTTTCATAAGTATCTATGTAATTAAGGACTTCTTTACATGCTTCCTCAAATGTTCACTTATGAGTTTGAAGTTTGTACAGAGTACTCGTCGTACCATGTGATGAAATCAACTGGTAGTAT